GTGCATTGCGAAATGTCAGGCAGATTCTGAGAGTGTTTGTGTTGCTTTTATATCTTGAAGTAATTTGCCTCGTAGCATTCGTAGGATAAATCAAGACGAGCATGTTAGCATTCCACTGGAACTGCTTTTGAACCTCGTTCGATGTATGGTTGGCAAAAAAGATGCGTGTTGTTCGTGCTGTTCCCGGTCACGGAGCGCAGTTCGGTGTTTAGACAAATGCGTTGGTACAGATTGCCCAGAAAACGCATCCTCGACGTCGATTCAAAGTTGTTTTCTGCCTTTGTTCTCCCCGTTCGACAGCCAATTTGTAAACGAGAACGGTGGTATATGAATTTCTCAACCTTATGTATCTTTTGATACATCCATAATATAACGTATTTGTAAGTAGGAAAAGAGCGCGGGAAAGAGGATTTGCTGCACAACGTGTTGGACACGGCGATAAGTTCTGAATTTTCGGCTGGATCCAGTACTCGAGAAGGCACGTGTTTCGCTAACGATTGTAGCTTGCTGAACCCGCACGAGAGGCAGAAGTTGGAAGAACTTATCATTGCTAACGAGGTGATGGCAGAACCGGTTCAAAATTTTGGCGCTAAATTGAGGATGGATAATCCAAGTTTGATGGACGTGATTAATTTAGTAAGTACAATATTTGACTTCCTGTTTGACACTTATACAGTTTTCTTCTCTTTAGACTGACGTCGCCTTCAGACGCATCATCCGCATGAGCAAGCGCATATCAGGTTTCAAGTGTTTACCGCAAGAGGATCAGATAGCGCTGCTGAAAGGTGAGTAACGGTTCTCCATCTTCGCTGCCTGATGTTTGGTTTCTTCTGTATAGGAGGATGCACAGAACTGATGATCTTACGTGGCGTTATGTCATACGATGCCGAAAAAGAGTCATGGCATGGCCCCATGTCTCAGTACATTAAAATTGATGTCTTAAAAGACTTCAGTTCCAGCATATACGAAGAACATAAAAAGTATGACTGAGTGCTGAAAATGAATGGTATTTTTTTCGTTTTGATCATAATCATGATGGCATTAGTACCTCCATCATTGAATTGTCATAATTAACATTTATTAAAATTAATAACCCTCCTGTGAGGTCTCTGATACTTATTATACGTGACTCGACAGAACTTGTGGTTATGAAGTTGGCTGCAGAACCTCATGCATCAGAATGATTCCTATCTGTTTGAAAATGGTGTTATTGTATAAATCGTACTTCCCAAGGGGTGTTTCTTTCTTGATTGTAGAAGCTGTCTCTAAATTTCGTTCAAGTGCTGCCGCAGTTCTGTAGCAACATCTGTTTTCACACATCGTTCCATGCAATTACCCTGACCTTCTCTCCATTTCGGCTTGAAAATTTTTCCCCCGCGTGTTCATTTCATTTGCTCCCATAATGTACAGTGTCCTTTCTGTTGTTAAGAAATCTGTCGTTGCCAGTCCATACTAAGAATGAGAAAAGAGAAGGGTTCGGGACAGCGGCGAGGTCTCCCGTTAAACTTATCCACCTATCCCACATGATATTGCCGGTATCGAAAGTTATACAGGGGCGGTTGTAGCCCGGAATACCAAAGGCTGCGCAGGCTGTTGGGGAACTCAGGCAGGCTCAGAAACCTGCTCAATGTCTTCTGTCATCATAATGATAGCAGATAATGGCAGCTGAAGATGCACACAAAAATGATGGACTGTAATCAGCAGCAGAGTCGCTACCCGTTATAAGCGGAGCCGGTAGTCATTGAGATGCTATTATGGTACACAGACGAGGTTCCACTAAAATGACGTTTACAGTGGGAGATTATAGTCAAAAATTGCAATATATCTTCATTCTGAGGGAAATAGCAGAAGCTAGTTGATGAGGT